TCAATCCATGCTGGTTGATCAAGTTTGATAGTCCTATACCCCCCACCCTAACCTTCCCTTATATTGTAAGCGCTTTTGAGTCCTTGAAAAGCCCTATAAAAATATAATGTATTATTTTTATTATTATTATTATACTGACAGGTATCAGATCTTGCTGTGTAAAATAATCTTCCTGAGAGGTGTCCCTTGTGATGTAGTCTGTGTGGTCCACAGTGAATGTATTCCTGACAGCAACAGGTTCCCATAGGAAATGCATGCGGGTCATTTTTGACCCACTTATGGATGCTTGGGGTAGAAATACAAAAACTCCAATTTCTTAAAATGTAAATAAAAAATTTGAATGGCATGATATCCAAAACATGTTTTTTGAGGAATAGCTGGAATATGAAATGATAAAAAAAATTAATTACAAGAAAACCACCTCACCGGGTCAAAAAAGACCCACTCATGCATCTAAGGGTTAAAAACAAGTATTTATACATTGATTGCAACAGGAAACCAAAATATGTTTAACACTGAATTCTTGATTAACTCTTGATTTAGTACTTTAGAAATCGTGATACCTATGTCATTAACACGTCTCCTCTCCTGTTTCAGAGCTGGGGGAGATCAGGAATGTGACGACCAATCAGCCGTCTCTGGAGCTGGACGGGTTGGAGAAGTACACCAACTACAGCATCCAGGTGTTAGCCTTCACCAACGCCGGAGACGGAGTCCGCAGCGAACAGATCTACGTCCGCACCAAAGAGGATGGTAAGAGCACAGTGGTGCAGTGTTCATTTCGTCAACGAAAACTATGACGAAAAATGTTCGTCCACAAACTTTTTTACATGACTAAGACGAGACGATGACGAGCTAAAAATAGATTCTTGATAATAAAAATTATGACGAAATGTATATTTTGTTTTCGTTGACGAGACGGGACGGGACTAAGGTGTTAATGGTGGACTATCGGATATTCAAAATGCAGGATATTTTCCCCCAATTGTCCGTCTTGTCTGTCAAAATGCATCCCTGTCATTGGTTGAATTAGTTGGGATTCTGGGAATCTGCACACGTCACTCACATTGCACAAGTAAAGTGTTAAGAGAGTGAAATGTTGCTTTACGAATCTCAACACTTGATACTGTCACCTTGATTCCAATTTCAGGTACCTGTATTTCCCTAACTGAATTAGTTTAAAGAGAGAAAACATTTTGAATACAAGTTTACTCAAATGTAATGATCTTCCATCGACTAAAACGTTTTGACTTGTCCTGCATTCAAAATGTTTATCAAGGAAAAGACGAAAAGTTTTAGCATCAAAGTATAATTGAAGTATCAAAACTAGTAAGTACTCATCATGCAGATTGGACATTTTTGGAAATGTTTGTTATTAATTGGTGTCTTCCTCTCAGTTCCCGGTCCTCCAGCGGGGGTGAAGGCCGCGGCTGCCAGCGGCTCCGTGGTGTTTGTCTCCTGGCTGCCTCCGCTCAAACTCAACGGCATCATCAGGAAATACATCGTCTTCTGCTCCAATCTGCATCCTATGGTAAGAGCAGTTTTATACCGAGAGATTAACAGGGATTACTTTTAATTCAGGTTTTAAAAGCCAGTCTAAGGATCTGTGCCCACATGGCATTCCTCTGGACTTCCCTGCTGCCTCACACTGACACATTATTCTCTCCTCCCCCCGTCTTTTTTACAGGTGATGAGTGAGTTTGAGGCGTCTCCAGATGCATATTTCTACAGGATCCCCAATCTGGCTCGAAACAGACAGTACAGTATCTGGGTGGTGGCGGTTACGGCTGCTGGTCATGGCAACAACAGTGACAAGATCACCGTGGAGCCTCTGGCCAAAGGTACTCCACCTTTAACACAACACAGGGTTCTTACGGTCATTAAAAACCTGGAAAAGTCATGGAAATTCAAAATGCTAATTCCAGGCCCTGGAAAAGTTATGAAAAACAATATTTTTCCCAAAGTTTTGGAAAAGTCATGGAAATGTAACTAAAGTTGCATCAAATATAATTTATATTTTAGCTAATCGCCGAAATAGTAATACTATAATGATAATAAATACTGTATCGTAATTTGAAAGGGATAAAAGCGTACTGGTTATTTAATTTAGAAGGAGGTCGCAATGTGACTTTTAACAATAAACTTTTTCGTACCTTTGTCCTTTTATCCAGACGGTATACTTTGTACGCCGGATAGAATTTTTTTTGTTTTTTTAGTTTCTATTCATCCGAACTGATCGAAGATGCCCCGATTTTCGTTTGTTTTACCAAGAGTGTTCGTATGGAGCAGTCACTTTTACGGTAAA